GAACCACTAGGATCAAACATGCACAATGGATGCGACTCAAAAAAGAGGAAGAAAATGCTCTACGAATGGGTTTCGAAACAAACAAACCCGTCATAGAACCAACGGCAGCTCTTCCTCTTTCACAGAACTTTTGGATGTACACGGTAATACATTTAATGACCCACTTGCCATTCGTGAGGCATTTGGTGTCTTCTTTGCTGTCTCTATGATTTTTGAATCTGATCCCATACCTGAATACTCTCAATCCATAATGGCCAATAGCCTATGGAATGTCGAACTTTCTGCACAGCACTCAGCAGCTAATGAAAACCATCAAACCTTTCCTCAAGTTAGACTTCAATGGCATCCCTTCAACTGTCATTAAGATGTGTGGACCAAAATTATCATTACTTTGTTAAATATGTTCACATTATCGCTACGAACTAGCTATTTTCCTAATGCATCGGAAACCTGGTTCATCATCCCACGCGATAAAAGCGGTCTCAAACAAAAAGCTATCAATTATTGACCGATTCACACACCCCGTGGAGCTGTTAACGACGAGATTTCGATGCGTATTCAAGAGTTCGCCTTTCTTTCTTTATGTTGAAGCACTTGTGGCGCCGCCATGACATCCGTCTATCCATCACAGGACGGGTTTATTGTGCCACTGTCTGCGCTCTCTCTGTTTTTGAGCACGGTTGCTCGCGGTCCATTGCCCGTGTGGTGGCTACACCACGTAACCAATGTCGAAGTTAGACAGCGTGTCTGGTGGAAGCAGCCACTCGCTCGGTGAGCTGGTCCCGCTGAGTCAGCTGTGGTGGCTTGGACACGTACTGCGCATTCCAGCTCTTCGTCTTCCGTGTTGGGCGTTGTTCGTGGTTGCTGGACGGGACTGGAGGAGACGGCGCGGTAGACAACCTATGATTTGGAGAAGCGGCATGAAAAACATCAAAATAGTGGGTCTCGGTCGGTTGTCCTCGACTCCATGATTGGGATTTCAGATCCAGAGTGTTGCTGGTTTGAGACTCCTGAAGTCATGACTCAAGACCGACCTCAATGCGTGTTGCGGTGATTTCCCTTTCTCAATCAAACTAACAATTAAAAAACACTCAAAACTAAGTGAAAACCGGTCCAAATGTTGTATTTTCACTTTTCTTATTTTTCTCCTGTTTTCTTCTTCCGCCATAATTCTGATGGCACAATATCTGTACCACAGCTAGTGCTGATATATATATATATATATATATATATATATATATATATATATATATATATATATATATATATATATATATATATATATATCAAATCACCACCTGTCTAGCACATCTCAACATGGTGTCCAGGATTAACGTTCTTGCACAACCTGCCTGACCCACAACCCTAATTATACTTTAGAATCCATGAACCTTGGTTTTCAAAAATTATATTTTTTTTGACTTGGAAATAGCATTTGACTGTGTGCCACACAAGTGGTTATTGAGAAAGATTGAATTCTTTTGTATCTGGAACTTGCTTTTAGGTTGCCTGTCCTCCTACCAAAACAATCGGTTTTAGCTAACCACTTATGTGACCGCTACTTTTCTCCGCGACCACTTACCAGCGGCTTCTTCCAAGAAACTGTACTTGTCCTTTTGCTTTTTCTCATCTACATCAGTGATATTGGAATGCCCATTAAAAATGGCCAACTCTCTATTTCCTAAAGACATCAGGATTGTCTGTAAACTCCTACCTCATGCGATTCACAACACACTGCTTTTGATTCACTTCTGAATTAATATCCAACACGTGGCTGATGCGATTATCGATTGACAAACCAGGCATTATATCATCTAGTTGCTCGATTCCCGGAGGGGCAGCTAAACGTAACAAAAGTATTTCCATACGGCAGTCTTCCCGTGATCTACGAATTCGGTATTCTTCCAGCTTCCGCTTTACTGAACAAGCCCAATGCCAAACAGCCTGCAGCAGACAATCCGTGGCTGACATGCGCCACAAAATCTGTACATTCCGTATGAACCCGGAATTATTTAAAACCCTCACTCTTCCTACTCTGGAATGCTGCAGCTTTATCCATGACCATGTGCTGCACTTGGACAGGATAGGCATGGAAAATTTACCGAGGTCATTTCCAAAACGTTTGTTAAGTATCACATCTTCGGCGAACATTGCAAGCAACTTCACATCGGGCCACTCTGGCTGCAGCGTCTAAAGCAAAACTTAATGCTCTTACATAATTTGTGGCATCAGAAAACGTGCTTTTACCTGTCTAATTTAGAGATAAGGCATAATAACCACCAAAGACTCCGTAACAAGACATTTGCGTTACTATTACCAAGGGCTAGAGCAACCATGCCCTCATTAAATACGCCGTCTTGTGGAACAGCTTACCAACTACAATCAGGGCATGTATTACCCTACATCATTTCACATCAAACTCGACAAATTCTTAGATCTACAAATCATATTATCCATGTTCTGACCCGACAACTCACCTGATGCAATGTTCCAAAGTGGACCAAGAATATTTAAAGAGCTAAAAAAAATCTCATCAATATTTGTTTATGCAAGAGCATGGTCATTTCTGTATATAGTGATCTGTTCCTGCGGTTCGATGTCGAAACGCACGCATGGGGCGTAAGTGCCGTCAAAATACAGGGGCCTTGTCATCTTCCCCGTTTATGCCCCAACTGCCTGCGGTTTGGCGGGCATGAGAGACGATTTCTATCTTCAGCTCCTATCTGTTCTCCGTGTGGCGAAGAATACTGATATCCTGACGGTCGCTGGCGATATTAGTGCCAAAGTGTCTCACCGGTCTTACTAAACAACACCTGAGAGATCGTTTCGGGATCCGTGCACACCGAACAGACAGTGACGATCGATTACTGCAGCCATGTGCCCCTACCACAATTTTTGGAGTATCAGCACTGTTTTCCAACACGAACATTCACGTCGTGTTACCTAGCGCATATTGAATTCCTCGATGGCCTGGACCCAAATTTACCATATTGCCATCAGAACAGATGCTGGCGCACATCAGTCCAAGGCAGTCGGTCAATTTGGGACACGAGCCTGGATTCCGATATGCTCTAGTGTCTGCACGCTTGACGCTCACTCTTCCTGCTTCGAAAAAGCGCCTATCTTCCAACCTTGTAACTCAAGCTCGCAGTTTGCAGTCCAACCATATCGTGAAGAGCGGGCTCACAAGTTGTCATAGATAAATGAGGTTCGCGAACTCAACACAATGAAATCACCTCAACTGTGCCATGATGACGCCTACTGTGGGCCCAACTTGGGACATCCGGATGGTAAATCGATTTCTGTGACAGATCAATTTGTTCGAAGCGCGTAGACAGGCTCCGATGTGCACTGAGTTTTAACGTGTTTGTAACTCCTTGAAACGACCTGACAAGGAGTCTTCGAATCTACCGGGAACTTTGGTGGGTAGCAAGAGCCAGTGAAAAGAAAAAGAAAGAGCCAGTGAGATGGAGAAAACCAGTATTTTTGGAATCAGTCGGAACATGCGTCCGAGAAAGCTGTCAGTTAGCGAAACAACAGCTGAGAAAGATGGACAGTTGATTCTTTTTCAGCCTCGTCGACTAGTCCGTTGGTGGAACATTCTGAAGAGCAATTCAGTAGGCCTGCTGCAACAATGCCGCTTGCTGAATCAGCTGAGCCGACCTATGGGATTGATGTCACAACTCCCTCTTTTGAACATTCGACATGAGATCGCTGTGTTGGCACGAAACGGAGCTCCTGGACCCGACGACCATCCTCCATTTGTGCTGAGAGATAAAGGTGATTCTGTTGATTGGACTTGCTTCTTTATTCAGATTGGCGACTGCCAACGACCTTGCCAATCTTTAAAATGGATTAACGTACTTTGTGTGAAAACCATCGTCTTATCTCTAATGTCTCCATATCTCTCACGGGTATCTTTCTTCGACGCTTTACTGATCCTCATGAGGACCGAATGATTAAAAGCCATATTGGTTATCCCCCTAGTCGTGGTTGCACCGAGCACATATCTACTGTTCGTTAAGTAGAAAAGCAGAGACACCTACAAACCGGACTATGGTGGTTTTCCTTGACCCGAAAGCCGTCTTCAGTTTTGTTGATCGTATTAGCTGCTGGCGTCACCTGTCTTTGAGGGGCTTACCGGAAAAACTAATTGCTCTGAAGTCATTCCACCGTGAGTCCCGCGACCCAGTGAGGAGGATCTGTATATTCTGTCTCCCTAGTTCCTCACGGCATGTGGCGTTGTTCTATTTCCCCTTTCCTATTCAGTTATGTCGTTGTGCTGATTTAAAAGAATACTTTTCAAACTCCATAGTGGAATTTCTATCAAATGACCGACTTCCAAACCTTGAGTATGTAGACGACAAAGCTCTCCTTGGGTCTAACTCGATTTCCATGCAAACACTACTGGAATGTGTATTTTTCATCTGGGCTCTATCTACGTAGATTGCATTGTCGTTGCCTTGAATCCGCACTCTCCGTCTTTCACTGTGACATTAGACGATTTTCCCTTTCCAATATTCTCTACTCGTGTGTAAGTGGCCCATATGTTTTGCGAAATTGCATTCATCCTTACTTGGGGATGTTTAACTAAGTCGTCGTGAAATTGTCCTTGGACTGCTTCACGGACCTCGTCCCAAATCGTAATTGGGGCACCTCAACTTCGTGAGCTCATCAGCGTATCTTCAGCAGCATGAACTTTGACTTAATTGTCGTGTTAGTTTGACCGCACATGAACCAGTATCTTGTCTATATTACCTTGCCCCATAATACTTCTCTTCGTCGCACACGATTAATCATGCGAACGCTGCTTGTTTTTATTTTGTGCTTTCGCTGTTGTGTGGATCTCGTAGAACAAGCTGACTACCAGTTAGTACAAGATGTGATGCCAGAGGCATGACGCATACCTCATTATCCCTCGGTTTTGATTACTTCCACGCATTTGGATCCTTATGGCATTCACTGCATTCATTCATTCTCCCTCTTCCACCATTGTACAGTGCGGAGAAGCTGCTCCCAGTAAATACAAGGTTTCTTGCACACAACACGGCGATGTCATCAAGCAGTTCTGTCGAGTGAGTTTTACTGGCGTATGATAATTCATTATCTGGTTATTCCATCGGCTCAGCACTAGTTCCAAGTTCACCGTGAGCGTTATCGGCGATTTTTTGCTCACATTCCTTGTTCCAGTAGCTGCGAAACTACGACGACGAACGCGATTGATCCTATGCTGCGCATAGAATAAATATATGGTAATGAGCGGCCAATTGGCATTAGTCGTAACCTTGGTTCGTTAACCTTGAAGAGCTCGAAATACAAGTACATTAGGTAGCAATTCATCTCATTTAGACTCAGTCAGACTAACACTACACGTCCGGAAAAATGCTGTACGGCCGTTTCATTCTTTCGCCTTTTATCTGACATTTGTAGGACTCGAACCCGCAGCTCACTTCCAGTTTGTAGTTGAGACCACTGAGCCACACGGAGCGACAACGATAACCTGCTCCGGCTGGTCCATCCTCCAACGCCCCCGTTACTAACCCCTTTCCATAGTTCCCAGCTTAATGGATAGCAGCCGCAGTGCCACTGGAGTCATGTCATCTGCAGCTATGTTCCGGCATCATCCACTAGATTCCTGTCGACAACAACCCCTTTACTGGCCACGCCATCCTGTTTCCTTGGTGGCGTTCAACAGTCTTCAATCGCACGCACTTGGGCACCCTGAATAACGACATTTTCTGTGTGCCCGAAACTAGATCCATGACCCTCCCATGTTTGTTGAACTGCACCTGGATCGTCCTCTCATACTTATGCGACAGTCATAGGTCAAACTGGGTTGGGCGTCGTTCTTATCTCAAAGGCTGAGTTATCGTTGATTGCTTGGATTCCCGTGAGCAGCCGTTTGTGTTTAACCCGCTTGACAACATTAACCCAGGTTGATTCACGGAGTGGTACTAAATACTATTTGTTTGTGACTTCCACTTATACCCTCACCGACGGCGGCACTGATGCTGCCAAGGACATTTTCTCCCACGAACTGAACGCGATGATACGCAGTTTGACCAGTTCAGATATCCATTATTGGGTTTGCTTTCTACCAGCTACTGCTACTTCACTGCTATCAATCCCGCACTGAAGATGCCACCTCGAATGGTGGCGAAACGTCTGCAACCAAGTTGCCCAGCTCGGAGAACTCCACAACAACTGAGCAAGCCTCCCGAGCTCCCAATATTCCAAATCATTTTGAACTCTGACCGTAAGAACAATAGCGAGCTTCTGTTACAGCTTTGTGCAGAGCACCCGTTGTTCCTTAGTAGCACTGCCTTTAGACAGTGGGCACCGAAGTGCTATTTGGCGTCCTCCAGTAGCTAGCCAGCGGTGGACCCAAATAGTTCACATTTCCATAAGTTACAGGTGGCGTGGTTCCATCCTGGACTGTCACTCGTCCTGGAGTACTTGCCTCGACCCTGATCATACCAAGGTACGCTGGCGTTTTCCCCTGAACTTTACGGGAGGCGTACCAAGCGTTTCCCTCGATTGGCAACTGAGAAGTTATCTCAGCCCTCGGTCAGGCAAGCCTACCAGGATGCACTACGTACCGAACTGTCGCTCTCTTGTCCTAATGACACTGAGCTTCATTGGAATAGGATCCCAGCTGCCACTACTTCGTACTATCAGTCGTCTCCGCCCCAGTCACTGGATGTCCGAGAGATCGGTGAACGTTGGAATCCAGAAGAAAACTACCGGCTGGCTCTGAGCACAATATGACCAAACGGACTATCAGGCGCGATCCAAAGCAGAGAATGCGCGCTGACATGAAAGTCTGGTGGACTAGTAAAGCTCAAGAAATGGAGGAGACTGGAGCAATAAGCACTTGTCGCAAGCTTTTCCAACTGATCCGCACCACTGTTTGCAGGAAACCGGGCATCATTGAGACAATCAGAGACAGTATAGAAGCCTTAAATAAGGAGCGCTCTCTGGATCGTTGGCCTAGGGATTTTCGTAAGCAGATCAGTTCACTCTTTGCTCTCGGACCTCTTCCTACCGAGATCATGCAAAGTGAACCATAGCCGGTCAGTTTAGGGGCTCCACCGGACGCTGTAGCCCGAAACGCGGTCACAGCCCTTACTCGTTTCCGAGCTGCTGGTTAGGATTCCTTTCTGCCATCCCTTTATAAGGATGGCGGTGATGTCCTCCGTGAAGCACCGGTTACCTTATTCAACTCAAGTCAGTATAAGCTTTATGTACCCAAAAGGGTGCATTTTCAGCATTTTACATTATCAACTGTAAATTTATCAATGGGTTACCATTAAAAATGCTACTTTTACAACTGCATAGAAAAATGGGGATGCACTGTCATGGATCGATCGAACATTGTTCCCAAAAAGCTGAACTAAAACTTCGTGATTTGTATCCATTGAAAACTGAAAAGGTTTCGTAATAATGTTTCTTCAGAATTCGTTTCAACTGAGGTAGAATTTTGTGTCCAGAGCCCATATCTCGGGGATCGTGCGCAATATCTCGCGTGCATATTCAAAGTTGGAGAGAGTACAGAGTCTCAGTGACCTTGGAAGTTGATTTAACAAAATACCCGTCGCTGTAATCTTGCAATACTGAGATATATACAGTATATAATATAAAGATGATGTTCGGCGAAAATGGCAACGGCCGATTTAAAGGCCCAGCCACTCGGATAGGTTTTCAAGGAAGTATCACCCCAGCTAACTGAAGTGAATCAATCCTACTGAAAATATTCAAGAATTGGATGCCAGCTCTCAGTATCTTATCCGTGATTGACTGTGATCTTAATTACATCTTCACAACAATCACTCAGATCGGAGAACAGCTCAAAGCCCGCACTTACATCATCTTTAGCAGAACATTTTAAATATGGTTTTATACTTCCTAAAAACACTGCTGTGAGGCAGAACTCTAGTATATCGATATTGTTTGCGCACGCCCCTGATCCTTTTGGTTATGCTGGATAGCACTCCCCAAGTTTGTTCAATTTCGTTCATGGTATACGTATCAGTAACTGAAGGTCGGACCTATTCTACCTAGCGTCGCTCTCATGAAGCGTCCAGGAAATAACAAATGGTTTGCGATTTGCCACGGCAGATAGTCTATCCCTTGTAATTTCAATGTGAACTACGTAGAGCTTGTGTGCCATAAGTTGTCTTTGCTGGTCTGAGAATACCTTTTTCGGTCACTGCTTTGTTACCCCCGCGGCCAATCACAACAACTAGCAAATGCACTGTAATCCCCACAGATTTCACCTTCTGGCTGACCTAGTTGCAGATCCGTCATTAGCTCCATACCTGACAATCTTTGGTGGTAGCTTTCTATAACTTGGATGCTCACTTTGCTCCACTTGGTCGGATCTACATGTTCAAACACCCATCTTTGAATGCTCTCTAGGAGACATTTCTTTCTGTTCTTAACTCTAAACCCCATGATTGCTGGTTTTTTGTTCCATAAGATGACGACGACCAACAGGATTTATCATGGCGGACCTCAACTACTTGATGCAGAACAGTTTATTCGGCTAGGTAAATAAGGGGTGCGGGCAACCAACGTGATGCTCACTGTGGTCGCATGCAAATAGCTGAAGAGCATTCATATGGAACGACGCCGTTACTGTGCATTACAATAAGCCTTTGTATGGAATGCGTCTGTTAATGCAGCTGAATTCAGCACATTTCAGTGCACAGATCATAATGATCAACTGAGCTACACGCCCAGGGCTACTGTGATCTACTTCACTGATATCCTCTTAACACTTGATCACACTTCTAAGCGAAACATGCTCTTCATTACATTGAATAGAACAATAAGGAGACGCATGCTGCAAAACGGTACCATTTCATGCCCTCTGTTCACTCGCAAACGAGCAATATATCAAATGATAGCTTGACAAAAATCAATAAGTTGAAGTCGAAAGTCATGCAAGGGAAATAAAAGATGCCTAAAATTTGAGGATATATCACGAACTCCAAACGAGTTTGAACGTAACAAACAGTTTCTTTTCGATTCAGTGTTGGACGATGCTTGTTTATGGCCACTGTCTCGGCAAACTTGATGACTCTGGCGTTTGTGTTACGATAGATGACAGTAAACGCCGATTCGGGGTCGACATGATGACGCGTTTCACTCAGGTGTTTCACTATCAAGGAGACAGGTATCTTGTTCCTCTGTGGCTGCCCTATCATGGTAGCGATATGCTTCAGAATGTGCTCCCCAATCCGCTTACACAAGCAACGGTCTGTTCTACCGATGCAACTCCCACCACATTTGCAAACAAATCGATAACACAGTGCATTGTGGCGGAGAGCGGTTTAGTAGGCGCTTGACCGGGGGCAGTGGTAGCTACTTGGTTGACCAGAAAGGGCAGAATTTAGCAGCATTAAATGTACGTCGTATCGCAACTGCTGTTCGTCCTTCTATCTGCTTAGCCAAAACATCACCTTTGAAGCATAGTCGTAGATAAGTAGGCAATTTTGGTGGAGAAAGCACATCCGGCTGTTCACTTTCTGCGGGGCGGCTATGAAACTTACCAAAGGCATCTGGGTAGCCATTTGTCCGTAAGGTTTGCCTGGTGCATTGCAATTTAGTCTGGATGCATTCCGTACTACATCTCCTTCAAACCCGATTGAACAACGTTTTGACAAGGCATCGTTTGTATTGAACCGATGTAAAACGGTTGAAATGTTCATACAAACCAGTAAACGGTGCGCTATGTCGTGCCATCCTCTCGCCTCGTCAACAGTACATAAAAAATGACAGTTATCATCCTCATAGGTAAATCAGGTATTTAGGTGTGCAGCGTTCAAAATTCTGAGAAGGGACTGAACCGCCTCCAAGGATGATACGATCGCCAAGGTATCATCAACGCATCTCTTGTAGAGGCACATTCATCCAAGGTCTGGCTTTCAGCGCGACTCGACCATGGCCAAGTAGATGTCCGTCAACAGAGGGCCGAGTGGACTCCCCATAGCTAATACAGGGAACTCGGTGCTTCAAATTTCTAAGATGGAGGCTTCCTTCATTACCGTTTGAGTCCATCTCACCGTCCTGT